TGTGTGTGTGTGTGTGTGTGTGTGTGTGTGTGTGTGTGTGTGTGTGTGTGTGTGTGTGTGCTCCGTTTTTTCTTTTTTAAGACCCTTTCATGGAAAGATGTTGTATCTTGCCATGTCCCAACAGTAGATTCGCTCTGGCTCAATTGGTTAGGCACGCAAGTGGCATTCAGGAGGTCATGGGTTCAATCCTCATGGCCGCCTGTAGCACTCTTGGTGCCAACCAACTGAGATAGTCAGCTGGATCCTCCCAGTCGGTATTAATAAGGTCTTCAGCCAACACGGGTGTGAGTGCGTGTGTGAGTGGGTTGCGTGTGGTGTGTGGGAGAGTGTTGGCCTTAGACACTACTGTTACTCGATGGGGGTGGGGGGAAATGAAAAGGGAGGCACAGTTACTGGCAAATGCTCGGTCCTTGTGTTAGCCGGGCCCCCACCGGCGGCCCCAAGCCTGCACCCTAAACGCTAGGGCAAAAGGGGCAAGCATGCCGTTACCCCTCTCCACCACCGAGAGAGGTAACCTCCCTTCACCGAAGAGAGGTAGAAAGCTATGCTTGCGAGGGTCCCCTGTATAGCCTTAGGAATAGTGGTAGGTAATCAAAAGAAAGATATGTTCCATGACATGGCAGTACGCCAGTTAAAAGATATGTGAGGTGAGAGAAAAATATATGGCTGTCCCCCGATGAGGAGAAGACAAAAAAATAAAAAAATAAAATAAAAAATGGCAGTGTATCTGCACGCATGGAAGACCAACAGATGGGGATGTATCATCCGTGGTCTAGCATCAGATCCCTTCTCATTGTGGATGAGAATGACTAAAATATGGCGGTGTATCTTCCCGTGTTCAGTTGAAGATCCATTCTCATTCTGGAACTGGGGGACTCTGAAGTTTGGTGCAAAATGAGAGAGGCGGTTAATGGAAGACCCAAAATTCGGCGAATTTTAGCGAATTTTTCACCGAAACTGCCATATTTCCCTGAATTCTTACTTTTTTCAGGTTTTTTTTTTTGGCTGATATGTATGTGCTTTACGGTATATCTGTATTCAATTTCACCATATTTGGACCAGTAACGAAAGACTTAGCAAAAACGCCGGACTCGAAAAACGATTTGGCGAACTCCGAAAGCTACTCCGAATAGGGTCTTATAGTGCTCTTGAGTTTGTTTTTTTGGTTTTTTTTTTGCCTGTTCGTTTTTTTTTATGTTTGTATTATGACCCTGCATAGTTTGTTCGCAAACGTTTCGACAACATTGCTTGTAGCAATGCGGCGAAAAACCCCGAATTTTTCGCCTTAAATGGACGGGCCCGGTACCTAGGAACAGGTCCAGGACATGACAAAAGTGCTCAAGGCTAACATGGCGTATGTGTGGAGCACAGCCCTGTGTTTTTTTAGCGGACATGTGTTTTTTTTGCCCATTCTGAACTACGCCTGTGACATGTGTGCGTGTGCGTGTGCGTGTGCGTGTGCGTGTGCGTGTGCGTGTGCGTGTGTGTGTGTGTGTGCGTGTCGATGTGTGTGTGTGTGTGTGTGTGTGTGTGTGTGTGTGTGTGTGTGTGTGTGTGTGAAGGCGGTCAGTAAATCCACGCTCCCGCTGCCGCATGCATGCTTGCTCCTGGCGTGCAGCGGAGCACTGGCCGGGTGATGGTCGACGGTGACACTTCGTAGCCAGGGGGAGACCAGGAGGGGGCTGGGTGAAGGGAGGCAGCGGCGCAGCGGGAACGGTCTCTCTCTCTCTCTCTCTCTCTCTCTCTCTCTCTCTCTCTCTCTCTCTCTCTCTCTCT